GTGCATAAATCTTTCACAGACTTATATTTATTTTTTAAAATATTATTGTCTATGATACTTTTTATTTATGATATAAATATATTCATGTGATATTGGTTTAAACATAAAAATCACCATTATTATGTTTGGCACCATATAGCCCGGTTGGAGCTGACGTACCATAGAACTCCATTTAATTCACTCATTCTTTCACAATAGGGAGCCGCGGTAGCTCAGTGAGTAAGACGGTGTCTCGCTGACCGGAGTGTCTGGTGTTCGCTCCCGGTTTTGGCCTGACAAGAACAGTGTCTATTAGTTCGGGTGGTACGGAAACCGAGGTCCCGTGTACACATTGGCGTGCACGTAAAAAAAAAACCCTTATGGCAGCTGGAATTTGAAGTAAGAGTAGGCCGTAGTGCAGCTGTCTTGGCAAAATTTCCCACATAGCACACCGTATGGTGTATCCCCGTCTTCATAAGTCAACTCTTTGCAGAAAAGTAGGACGTTAAACCCCATTTCATTTCATTTACTTTTGCGGGTTCCAGTTCTTGGTTATAATATTTACGTTTAAATATTCATGGAACTACAAAACGCTGTCCTTATGACAAAACATGATAAAACAGCAACGGTCAATGGTCAAGGGCTAGAGTATTTTTATATATTGTAATCCACAGCTGGGTGCTGATATGCAACGTATTAACCGACATAATATGTAATACCCAGGACAATAATATCTAGATTACTAGAAAGTAGTACTACAGAAGTCTGGCATGACATGTGATCACGACACAACTGTTTCAGATCAAATAAATCAGAGCTTTTACGCTTGGAAATCAGAGAAGTTTAAAACCAGGGTTATTAGTGAAATGAAAAGTTATAATGAATGCGTATCAGCAATTCAGTATGAATTTAAAGGGTGATGACTCCCTTGTTCTGACAATGATGGGATACCCATTTTAGTCTGGAGGATCAGTGCGAAGGGGGGGGGGGGTCCATCAAATGGCCACAAAACCAGACCCAACTTTTCTAGAGCAAAATTTTGTGTAGAATACGATTCCGAGATATTCGGGGTCAAAGGTCAAATGGGTTCATTTGCACTGAAAGTGAATGCGCAGTCATTCTTGTATCATGAAAATAAGCTGAAAATGATCGAAAGTAATCACACTTTCAATAAAAATATAAACTTACTAAATTAACCTTTGTTCTTTGTGGCCCCAGGGTTCAAAAGGTCACATTTTCCGTTTTAGCACTAGGAAGATTTAAAGTAATAAATGTCAGCGTAAAATATAAAAACTAAAGCGAAACCTGTTCTAATTAATAAAAGGAACATTTAAAATTTAACTTTAGATGGTCTTAGCACCGAACTTTTACTTTGGAACGTCGAAAATGATCTTGCTAACAGACCAAAACGCTCCGGAACCTGTTTCAAAAATACGTAAAAACTGTTAAATCAAAATCTCTCCGAATTAGTTTTACAACGAATGCTATACAAAGTAAACGTTCGGTGCCAAAGACCCCTTTAAGATAAATTTTAAATGTTCCTATTATTAATAAGAACAGGTTTCGCTTTAGTTTTTATATTTTACTTTGACATTTTATTGCTTTAAATCTTCCTAGTGCAAAAATGGTAAATTTCACCGTTTGATCTCCAGGGTCACTAACACTAAGAGTGAATTTAGCAAGTTTACATTTTTATTGAAAGTGTGATTACTTTCAATCATTTTCAGCTTCTTTTTATAATAAAAGAATGACTGCGCATTCACTTTCAGTGCAAATGAACTCATTTGACCTTTGACCACGAATATGTCGAAAACGCCCCAATCGGCGGACTGATTGGGTCTGGTTTTGTGCCCATTTGATGGGCCCCACCCCCGCGCTGAGCCTCCGGTCTATCTCTTTGAAAGACATAACTTTTATTTGAAATAAAAGTTATGTGAATGGTATCAAGTATGATGGAAATAGTAGGCATACACTGCTCGACAATTCTGGAATTCCGAAGCTTGCTAGATATATCCATATTCCATATCTCTTACCACTCCCCGCGCCAGCCAAATATTTTTTTTTTTACTATTATTTGCGCCTTCAAAGGACATAATTATATCACCAAGTGACTTCTGTTTGCTAATTTGCGCTGGTATTTTTCATTTGATTAGTATTTTACGTTTTAATTAAAGATGCATTATGTAATAGCTAAATCTGCCTAATGAAAACCTTTCGTTTGGTATTGGTAATTTTCATTTGATTAGTATTTTACATTTTCATTAAAGATGCATCATGTAAGAGCTAAATCTCCCCAATGAAGATCTTTCGTTTGGTATTGGTAATTTTCATTTGATTAGTATTGGTAATTTTCATTAAAGATGCATCATGTAAGAGCTAAATCTGCCCAATGAAGATCTTTCGTTTGACCTAAAATTTATTATTATCCACATGCCAGGCCCTTAATCAACTCTCTTGATCATCAGATGGTTTTGTTTTTTCAACGAAATTATTCACGATTGTCAGTTAAAAAAATATTAAAAAATTGATTATTGTCGTAACAACAGACCACACTGTTCTTCAAACGGCCACCACTCCGCTCAGAATGAAGTGTTTGAATGACATTGTCAACATATTCCCTTTTCATTATCTATTTTTTAACTATTATAGCGAGAACTGTCAGCTTTTTATCTAAATGTTACACAATGGATCTTTAAAAATAAAGATAAATAAAATTGTTCTAATGCAATGTGATATCAATATGTCTGTTTGTTTTATTTGATGGTTAATTTGCTTTGAAAATATTAATCTAACTTATTCGGCCTCCAACCGAGATAGAAGAAATTAGCCAGCCACTTCAAAAGCATAAAATTACGGATATGTGGAGAGTAGTGCCTGAAGAAACATTAAAAACTTGGAACAGATTTTAATTAAACGAGTCACATAAGTAGGACAAACCAGTAAAGGCCAAACACCTGATGAAAAGTCGTATATTATGCTGTACAGCACTGCTGTTTTTATTAGAGGTCACCAGTGTATGTTAATAACAGGCCAATTGCCTGCACATGAACATAAACAGTTCATATGGGCGGTTTATCTGACGGCCCCATTTCACTCGCAAAGAGATACACTGTCAAAAGTGAAAATGGACGTTTTTTATTTTTGTCTTAATAATGAGTAATTGCTCCACCAATCCTCAGACATTCATCAATTCGTCGTGGCATGCTCCTAATCAACCGTCCAATCACGATTTGGGGCAATCTGACCCACTCCTCTTGCTGTACCACGGCCAATTCGTTTAGTGTTGTCCGTTCACGTTGATGAACACGTCTCCCGATCAAATTAACCGTGACAAAAATACGCTAAACAGTAAATCTTGTGCAAGTAACGATAGGAAAGTAAACGTGGATAGGATAAACCAGCAAGCGGCAGTTTTCATCAACCCTTCCTTGAAGTGTCAAATTTGACAATGAACCCCTCCCACGTATATGGCGCTATTGCGTGTCGCATGTGCAGCTCAGTGGTTCTGTTGGGGCGGCAAGTTCTTCATCTGTGAACATACTCTCAAAGCATGTCAAGTGTCCACGGCTATTTATCATATCACAACCTGCATAGGTATTTGTATTTCAATATCCCCTACTTTTTTTGAAGAGTATAAAATGTGTTTGCTCTTGCATATCGATCAATCTGAGGAATATACACTCCGTCAGCTGAAAATGAGATCAAATGAAATGAAATGGGGTTTAACGTCCTACTGTTCCGCCCAGATTGGGCTAATGAACACGGGCATATGCCATACAAAGTGCTGTGAGGAAAGTTTTGCCCGGACAGCGGCTCTATGACCAACTCTTAATCGAAGTCCAACTTCCAAGGCTTCTTTTACGTGCAAGGTCAATGTAATATTAGGACCTTTAACCCCATTTCTTTCCTTTTTCATTTATAAAAAAGAAAATTCCAATATACGAGTTTTAGTATTGTCAGAGGTTGAGTGAGGGGGTTTTGAGGTTTTTGCGCTCCCTCTCAAATGGACAAACGTCATGTCAACTCTCGTCAGTAAGTATATGACGCATGCTCATGGTTGTGACTTTTAAGACATTCTGGACAGGCTACAAATCCGCTCTGGCATGAGGATTGTTCTGTATGTTATTAATCCAATATTTTCGGTTCATTCCCGTAATAACGGACGAGAGGGATGTTTTTTTCTCCATAAATTGAAAGGGGTTGATGAACCGGCTCAAATTAGGTCAGTTTGGAACTAACATATGGCACAAATATTGTTCGATAATTCGCTTACGCGTATCGGTCTTTAGCAGCGAGACGAAACGAGGAGACCCCAAGTAAACTCACGAGGATGGACAGGCGACCTTAATCTTGTCACGCACAACCTTGGATAAAAACCTCACCACTTGCATCAATGACAGACCTTATACTCTAAAGCGTACGCGTTCGACAAACCACAATTTCAAATATAGAACTCAGTTGAGCACCAACCTAGAGGATATTTTCTAAAAAAGTAATGCGTCTTTATGTAGAACTACAAACATAAAATGTCAAAACACTGCGCAAAACGCAAAATTTAACTAGGGTTATGGCGCAGTTTTAAGGGTGCACGTACATCAACATTATCTGAAATTGTTTTTCTTTTTGAATATCAAAACAAGTTATAGCCTACCGGTCAAGTGTCCCTTGATAACGAAGGGGACTTCGTGATCCAGTCAATACGTCATACCATCAATATTTGATGTTGAAATTGTTTATTGTTTAAAAATGACACGATGGGCCCGTGACGACATTCACTGAATACTTTGTGATAAAGAATAAATGAACACTTTTACTGACGGCACAAAATTCAATTTCAAGCTGGCTGGTCATTGATACTGGTTAGTATGTCTACAAAACACCAGACTGCGCGAGAACAGGTTTTGACGTCATAGATAAATCTATTAATAACCATGGAATACGGTTCACCATTACAATGAGTTTACTATAGGCTCTTCAGTATCCCGCGTTCAGTGTTTGAAATGTTTTGTTTTCTTTTACAGAGTTCTAATAAGGATTATTGTATAGATCATTTATGAAACCATTGGGTAAGTATTTAATTTATTTTATACCGAGTGACTATATACGTTGTCCTTCCTATTGTGTTTAAAACAAAAAATTGTTTACCGTAAAAAAATCACAAACAACCTCCAATTATACTATAACGTAGATTGGCAATGCACAGATCTAATGCATTATAGGCCCACTATTTATTAAAGTAAATTTTGAAAATTGACGAATCTTCAATGTTATTGTTTACATTTTCATTTAGTAGACACCATTGATACAATCGCTGATTTAAATATGTGTTTCTAGAACCATAAAGAAAAAGTTACCATTGTCATTAATTAATAGTGCCGTCGAAGTCATTTTGTACACAAATGATCATTACAGGGGAACTGCACAACAAAACATAGACAAATAAAACAATACAAGAACATTCCGCATTAACAATACATATATTATCCCTAGAGACGATAGGCAATAAACCCAAAAATATTTGAGGAAAACATAGGTGTGGGTAACCGAGTATAGAAAATTAAAAACAATATCTGTCTCATATTCCATTTCAAAATTGTTCTAGTATAAAGCAAATTGTGCACACTTGACTGTTTTGGTTAACCAGCCACAGAAGGTTATATTACATGTTGACGTACATGTATATGTTCGCCTGCCATCAAAAATGTCTTGTGAACACTCTTCAGTCAAAATGTCTTGTGTACACTCTCCAGTCCAAAAGCTTAATAGCATTCGCCGGGTTGTTCATTGCCATTATCAAAACTTACGAACTGTATAATTCGGAATTTCATATTTTGACTGTGGGATTGTTGAATCCGAACCCAATTTACAAATATTAGGATATTAACTCACCGTTTTCGCCTTTACCTTTAAAATCTTTTGAACCCGTTACAAAACAGTTTCTTCCATGATTTGTTTTTAAAGATACATTCTCACGAAAGTATTTATAGGGTTTTTATTTCCAATAAAAGTAGGGCAAATTTGGTTTAAATGGAAAGTAGAGACGCGCAATCTTACTATAAATATGGGGCAATCACAGGGCAAAAATGTCAGGGTATATCACTAACTGGCAACCCGACGGCTTAATTTCTGCCAGCTGGACTTGGGAAGTGCTTGTTATTTCTTGATTAGGCGGTTTTGGGAACATTGAGTGGTTTAAACGTACAAAAGACTCTGCAATTAAACGACGGAAAAAGAAGTTGGCCGAAGATAATCCAAGAATTTGCTTAGACTTCAATATGTATGGCAAATTGACAGTAAGTAACGACAAATACATTCTGAAAATAGGCCCTCCCTCAATCAAGTTACATGACAAACGTGGCTTCTAAAAATAGATTTTTTTTTTATATCTTTGGGTATTTCCTCCCGAATACAATGTTTTGAGAGGGATTAGAAACAAATTTTTGATAGATTAATTACTGTAGTTTGAATATGGTTTTAGTCCCAATATATCCTGAGATCACCCAGTTTGTACGCTGGAAGGCATTGTTAAAAGCATGGTGGGATTGCTCACATAAGGAGCCCAACGTGATAAGGACTTAATGAAATTTCTAAACTCTTGGTTAAATTTTAAAATCAGCGTAATTTGTTCACTATAAGAGCTAACAGAAGTTAATCAGCTCTGTTATAAAACTGCACCGGATTTGAAACAAATGTTTGTAAATAATTTTTTTCTATTTTGACAAGTGCATTTTGACAACTGTTTTTTGAAAGATATAATTAATAACAGAAATGTAGGTCGAGTCGAAGGTACTTTAAAATTATTTTAGTTTTTAAATAAAAGGTGACATTAATTTTATTCAGAATCTCATAAACCACACATAAACCGGAAATTCACTGTTGCAAGGAGCGCCTACGTAATGCATCTCGGGTTACATGACATATTCAAGACAACTAAAGGCTATAGAGTTAATATTATTCTTTACACCACTCCTTGTCGAACTGAATGTTAAACATGTCCCAATCTACCATTTACTATTTTAAACATGATGCCAATTAATTCGTGGAGTCCGACAGAAAAAGGAATGATAATTTGGGATGTGATATTCCACCGTTAGCAACTCTAACGTGATAATTACAACCAGCTTCCTGAATTTCTTCTTCGTCGCGCAATGACCACAGCAGGTTAATCAAGGGGCCTATGCGACTAATGATCGCCTACCTATCACCACACGCGCTCCAAGTACAGCACTTTTCCTCATATACCTTTCCGGAATGACGCCCGCTAGGCATACTATAATAGTATATCAAAACTATTACAATTACGTTTCGTTGAATTTTTTCAGATTTTTACAACATCCGGTTTGCCAAAAATACTTTCTATCGCAACATGGACCTAATAATGTATTATAATGGTCCATGGTACAACTGTTATAGCCATAACCGAAATCCAATGAGAGCCACTATTGGTTTTAAAATAACCATAATTCACTGCAAACCTAAGCCGTGTATACCAAAACACCCAATTTGATTGGCCAATGAGCACCGTCTTCAAAGAAAACATATAAATAAGAAGGATGTTAATATCGTACAACGTATAAATAAAAGGAAAAGTAATTATAAAGATCTATAGTTGTATTTCAATTACTGCTCCTGTTAATATGGTTTCCCATATTGTTTAATTAAAGTAACTAAATCAATAAGTCAGTATTATCCATAATCCTCGACATTAAAAACACGAATTAGAATATAATATTGGTTCATTTCGATCATTATTGATGTTGTGACCTTACCGTAAAAATATGGGCTCTTGATATCCAATAGTCAAGGCAAAATGAACATTTTAAAATCAGTGAGTGCCGTCGTTTTCTCTAAGGCCCTGATGAAAGAGGCAAAACGTCAGTGCAGAAGTGAAAAGTCAATCCGTAAACTAGATATAGACTTGACTAACCAGACTCAAACGACTACCATTCAATTTAGACTCACGTATTTCGTCGAACATAATTGATTAGAAATTACAATACAAATTAAAAACATTAAATGTCAACATTAATATGTGGTTTTTAATAAGTTTTCGTCCATTTTAATCTCCGAAGAAAAAAGGTTCAACTCCTTTAAAAGAGAGCAATTATTCTGGTTTTTCTGTCAATAATTGCTGCAACCCTACCCGTGTTCTATAAATCTATGTATTAACGTAAGGACAATAGAATTATATTTATACACCTAATAAACTTAATGTACTTGTGCGGGTTCTATTTCATTTACTGAGTATAACAAGTTGACTTGGTTGTTGTTGATCATGGTGTTTAACGTCCGCTTCCATCGAGGGTGATATAGCAGACAAGTTGTCTTATTTTGATTTTTATTATCTTGGCGCACGCCAGCGGTCTTTCGTGTGTGTGTGTGTGGGGGGGGGGGGCTTGAGTACCCGGAGTAAACCCATGAAGCTGAGAAGGCGCCTCCATCTCCAAGCCACATACGCTCACACCAGGTATGGAAACCAAGACCGCAAGCCAGAGGTGATCTGCCATTTCGGATGGCCGAGATTTCAATGGATTTGCACACTCTCGAGAATAACCAATTTAACGATAGAATGGATAATCGAGACTTAGTCTACATTCTCAAGTACCGTTGCTATGATAATGAACAATCTTTGCTATGCATCTTGTCAGAACGTCAAACACTGATAATTTCTTTCCGAATAAAGTAATTTGAATGTAATTTTCAATATACTCATTTTTCATTATCTATTTTTAAAAAATTTAACAAAAACACGCAGCTCTTTATATCTTAATTTCACATAATGCATTTTTACCGATAATGTCAATGCTTAAAAGGTCACTGACGTCATAAATCAATCGACCACGACAAGATGACACCTACTAGTAGATCGATTTATTCATGTATATGAATTTTCATATAAATATGCAATATTTGTATATTTATAATATATTTTAGCTTGTTTATTATAGTCACTTCAACTATTATTATAATTATGATAATGTTTTTAGCATGGCAATACGTATTAACAATTGTTTTACGACATAATAATACTAATTTCTTCCCGTGTATTTAGTCAGCTTAACTGCTCAGTGGCTCTATGTATACTCAAGTCCCTATTTTGAACATTTGTTTTGACATGTTTGAAAATTCATAAGAAATACTGGAGATTTGTTGTTTTTTATATCAAATCTTAGAAATCGCAAAAAAAAATGGATAAAACCTTAAGTATTTGTGTATTAATATGAGCCCGATATGCCTTTTCCGGCTTTGAAATGAACTGCATTGTTCAATCTTTAGTAGTTTTTATGGCTTTTGCGATTAAAACAGAACACCACGCCACCATGCGTTTTTGACCTAAGTTCGAATAAGCCGCATTATGGTCGAGGATTTATGGTAAACTTTCGATAATATATCTAAGGAACTATATGACAGAGAAAGATATTTTGAACGCATCATACCCATAAGCTATTAAATATATGTTTTTTAGGTTACAGTTAGGTCATATTTATCCAACCGACAAAGCTATTTTCTCTCCGATGTTTCTTAAAATACAATTGTGAACTACAACTGCATGATCAGCCCACAATAATTTATAACTGAGAACCTGTATTGAACAAAGCAGCTATTTTAAACCTTCACGATGGCATCTAATTATAATTTATAGAACGTAAAACGAGCATCGCTTGAAATTTCTCATAAAGACGTCCATTAGTTCGGACATGATTCATATGATTATGTATTAGGATTTTGGCTGTCGAAACTGATCACCGATCGCTATGTAAACTTCAGATTTTCTCCGAAAATGAGCCTAAATCGCGATAGAAAATCGTAAAGTTGTTGATGTTTGTCAACCCGATAAATTATCACTGACAGGCTTCCAAGAAAATTGACAAAGTGCACACACACACACACACCATTCGTATTTTTTTTATATAATAATAAAGTTTATATTTTCAGAAATAAATATGGACGTATGTTTAATCTGTTGAATCATTTAAGCAACAAGTATGGGCGTACTATGAATCAGGAACCGTATGTAACATCATCGCAGCCATCTTGGACTTGTGACGTTATATCTAAAATCGAG